TTTGGTCAGAGGGTCATCCTGATAGCTAACCAGGTGATTTAATCCCTTAAGCAGCTGATGCAAGTGAAACAACAGTTTTGCTCCAGCTGTGAACCACTTCTCTAGCTATTCCAACCGTGGTCCAGGGAGTTCCAAAGCAGGCATTTTGCTGCTAGACTTTCCATGGCTCCAACTTAGGCAGCACTTGCTCAATTAGGGTGGTTAATTGGACTAGCAGTGCATTAGAAGCAGCCAGAACCTCCTTTTTCCTTTTGTCCAGTTCACTGAGTCTCCCATAGAAGTTGCTGTTCTTTGGTTCATAGGGGTTCAAAGCGGATATCCACACTGGGGTCTGGGTCTTATATCAAAGGCAGAAGACATCCTGATCATCTTTCAGTTAGCTGATGGATTTTACCAGCTTTTCCATCTTAGCCCTCAATTCCAGGATCCAGGATTCAATCTTATGTTGCCAGCTCTCCACAGGTGTTTCAAGGCCTGGTTCTGCTTGCTTGACTGAGCCCTTTGAGCCTGGATCAGAATTAAAGAGATTAAAGATCATCTCAGCCAATTGGGTAGGACCCTGGGGAAAGGTCTGAACATCCTGATAAAATTTTCACAAGTTGTGCTGTAGCAACAAGCACTTGGGTCCTGGCTACAGCAGCCATACTCATAGTTCAGTTGGTAAAAGAAGTGGAAGAATAGCACGTTAGTCTTGGAGTTATCGTTGCCCAGTACAGTCTCCTGGCCAGTTCTGGTCTTCAATCCAGATTGCCAAGTAACAATCAAATGTCCACCAGCAGGAGGCTATTTGATCCTGAAATGGGCTGTCAAGATTCTGCAGAATCTCCCACTGTACCATTTGGGGTCTGAGTTTGGCTAAGTACTCAATCCCCACTCCCTTTAGTGGCTCTGGTCGCAGCTTCTAGTCCCCAGAGGGAGTTCCAGCACCAGGGCCTCCAGCCCTACCTTGGCTTCAGACCCTCTGACCCACCCCCACGTAGCAAACTTGAAAGGGTGACTGAACACCAGAGCTAGACATTCCCAGCCAGATGTACCAACACTGGCTGCCACTCAGCTCAGACTTTTATCAATCTCTCTTTGCCACATTGAAAAAATAGTTTACATTTTCAAGCAAAATTTTGTTGTCCATTCCATTTTCAACAGGAAAGATTACCAACCATTTGCATAGCACAAAACAGTGGGGCACCGGTTGCCTAGTAAGGGAAAAAACCTAGAAGGGTGCTGAAAAGTTGAAGTATATTAATTTTGTTCTCTTGGACAAAAGCAAAGAAAAGCAGACAATATAAACTGAACTAAATAAGAAAGAGAGAGGCAAAAATAGGTTGACACTCATCTTTGAAAGGGCTACAAGCTGGAAGACCACCTATACCTATAGTTCACTCAAATACTGCCAACTCATGTGCTGAGAGAAAGCAAAATCAAGACACCTGAAGACACAGTGATTAAAAATCACTGAATTTAAGTGGGACTGAAAAGTTTTAATAGGTAGTTTTGTCTCATAACACAATCAAGACATTCATTCCAGAAGGTAATGATGTGTGTCTAAATCTCTGTAGATAAAAATTCCTAAACATGTTTTCATACAATCTCACTAATTTTTTTTAAGTTCTAGCTCTAAATAGTTCTGAAATGATGATGAGATTACAGATTTCTCAGGAGTAAATATTTTTCAATTAACCCAACAGTCAGAATCCAGTGCTGTGAAGCTCTTCAAAACATAAATACACATGTTTATATTTATTTAATTAAAGTATAAAGTGCATTTCCAGGTTCTATCCCTGGAGATTCTAATTCAATTGGTCTAAATCGAGATGCCTGATATCCGATGGTCACCGCACTAGAGGAAGTGAAGAGGAACATGGTGAAAATAAATCTATCAAATCAAGTTTCCTCAAAGTCTCTGAATTTATTACATTTCAGAGCTAGAAGGATCATTAATATCAAATTTAAATACTTTGTTTTATAGGTAAAGAAATAAAAATTCACAACTATCTGCAAGTAGGCAGTCTGACACAACTGTGCCTCCATTTGGATCTTTAGATACTTGGCCAACTTTGCTGGCTTCTAACTTACCCAAAGTCTTCAGTTGGTGAACAAATGGTGTCTCAATCTAAATGAAGGTATTTCAAGCCCCAAACTTAAAAACAAAATACCCAGTCCTTAAATATCACTACTGTACAGCTTTTTCACTTCCCACTCTCCAAGTAACTTATTAATATAGAAAAACCATCAATACTCAATCTGACAGATATACTTTCAAATTCATAATAATGGGGGGAAAGAGGAAAATGACAAATTCCTTTTTAGGATTTATTGTTCACTTAAGTGAGACAGGAATAAAGAGAGAGTGGGATTAGTAGCTTTGGTACTCTCAATATTTGTACTCTGGCTTAATAAGAAATAATAGAAAACTACATTATAAGTTTAGTGTCAGTGTACAAGGTTCCAGGTTTTGCTTTCTTGGAATTCTTCTATAACTGCTCCTCACTACATAGAAATGCCAAGAAAAGAGGGAAAGGAACCATTCGTTTTCTTTTTTCCCCCCCCATAAAGTTTAATTCTCACCCTATCTTAAATAAGAAAAACTTCTCTTGGGTAGGACCATGGAAAGAGTCATGCTACTTATCATTCTAACTTGGTAAGTCTTCCCTGTGGAAAGAAGAAAACTTATCTACAAATTTGTTCCTACTGCTGTACCCTGTACGGTGGCAATATAGAAATGGGCCCAAAGCAGACTTGGCAGCACTGAAAGTCAAGCTTACTCTCTTGCAGGGGTTAGCATGGAAAGAAAGAAAGCTACAGGAGTTTGCCAAAACAAACCAACCAACCAATAAATAAACCACAACTCTCTCTAACTTAGGCCATCACCACCCTTAATAAATTTTGCAGAACTACTTAAACAAACAAAAAACAATCTCTCTCTCCCTAGGAAAAAACTTCTTATATCATGTACCTATCCAAAGCCTAGAACCATGTTAAAGTTTATTCTGAATCCCAGCTGAGATTCTGTAGCACTGGCTTTGGATAAAGTTATAAATGGTCAAAATCATACTTAAGAGTGGATAATACATTGAAGATATCCTTATAAAAGTAAAGAGTGGGACGAGGATGCCTGCTAGCACCACTTTCTAACACTGTTGCTTGATTTTTAGCCTAGGGATTCTCAGTGTGTTGGGGGGTCCAACACAATAAAACAGAGAAAAGACCAAAAAATAAATCTTTTCCTGAGGGACACAAATGACTTAAATAGAGAAATACACATGATAATGGTTGCGATGACACAATGTTATATTGTATAATATATATTCTTCCAAATTGGGATTTATGAATTCAAATATTGTGAAATATAAATAGATTGGTCAATTATCTATAGATTGTATTTATATAAATTCACAGGAAGAAAAAATACTACAAGGAAATACTCAAATCATTTTCAGAAAAATGTCTCAGTACTGAGATTACATACAATATTTACTTCTGTATGCTTTATATACTTTTTTAATTTCCTTCAATAAAAAGATATTACTTTTCTATTCAGGAAAGAAGAAGAGACCATCTAAAATTGAAATTTCTGCTCTGAATTCTCTAGGTACTATAAACCCCGCATACGGTTTTAATTCAAATGACATTTTCAATGAGAACAATGATGTATATAAATATTAAAAGCCACGGAAATAAATTTTTACTACAATAACCCCATTCCTATAAGAAGCACTACAGAGTCAGCAACCAATGAGGTAAATAATAGCATATGGTTCATAATAAACATACAGGGGCTGAAAAGGGTAGGTACAAAAAGATCAATGGAAAGGGTCAAAGATTATCAACCAGAGAGAATTCTTTTGGACTCAGCTTTGATATTCACAAAGTTCACATAGTTTATTATACAGTAACTTTATGTTTTACTCTGTGGTCTCTTCTATATATATTCATATAAACTTGTACATGTGTGTGTGCATGTGTATAAACAAGAATTATTTATAAATAATCTTTACTATCAAAGAAACTTAACAAGGACTTCAAGAATTTAAATACAATTTTGAAGAAACTGACTCTGACAATAATCCATGTAATTATTAGCTGTATCTGAAAAATGGCCCTTACATTATTTTAGTCCTAAGTAGACACTGGACTATACATATAACACCCAGACATTTAAAACAACACTTAAGCAAATTTAACTTTGGAATACATTTTTAAAAAAAGACAATCAACATATCTAAGTTAATTATAGCTATTTACTTTAAATGAATTCATTTTATAAAGGTTAAACATGCCAAATTTAAAAAAATAAACAAAGATCCTAACTCATCAAACTCAAGGAACATTCAGGACCGAGTACAATCCCAAAATTATTGTTTTTATTGATCAGACCATTTTCTGACAGGCCAAAGCCAAATATAATAAAAGCACACCATTTCAGAATGAGACCTGGCATTTAAGACTACAAATCTGTTTAAGCGTTGACACCAGGTCTGCGCAAAAACAAGTTGTCTCTTAAGAGGAATACGGTTGTGAGTATGGGACACCCTCCTCACGCAAAGAATGTTAAGACTTCAGTGATTCCCAAGACTAGACAACAATAAATATTTGTGCCCCCGACACACAATACTTCAAAAACTCCCTCTCCCTTTTACAGTCTTTTGTTGTCCTAATTATGTCAGGGTAAAAATCTCAATTAGGTGACAAGAGCCTTTTAATAACCAACATCCCTTAATTTCCTTTTCATCAATATGCGTGTTCCTAAGGCTCAGAGTAGTCTGCAAATCACTACAAATGTGAAACTATTGAGAGGCTCATCTAAATTATCACGAGGGAGCAGCAGGCAACAAATATTCAAACCCAGAAATTTTGACTAAACATTTCCTATACAGCGCAACAGTTCTGCATAAAAGTGAGATATTGCAATAAGAATTCTGTATGAAAATGATGTAGGAAAAAAAGTGAAGATCGCTAGACATGATGGTAAGGTGTCTGACTGTACCAACATCCGTACTTACGTATCATACCTCTGCAGTGGGGTCACTTTGTTCTTATTCTTATCAACTGAACCCGTAGATAGTTGAAGAAAATTGGGGTTTAATTTATATAATTCTTGTAGTAGCTTCTGTTCATATTCTTGGTGTTTACCTGCCTAATGGAAGAAGCAATTGAAACTGCAGTAAGGTTCACAAAATGACTGGTATAAAATATTGAATTACTTTCTGAATTATTAAAAGATATCCTAAATAAAACATGTAAAGGTTTTTCATGTCAGAGAAACCTGTGAGGAGGGTAGCACAAAATTTCTAGCCCAATGAATGTTCTTCCAACAAAACAACAAAACTAATATATTTCCTTAATAAAGGCATTACATCAACAACTTTATTGTGTAGAAGAGTATACTAAGAGACAACATTTTTGCAAGCTCAAAAAACCTACTTTTAAACACCATCTTCATATAAAAATTAAATATTGCAATAGGCCATTATTAAATTTTCTGAAGATCACTGAAAATCAGTCAATTTCCTTTTCTAAATTAAAATGTTTATGTTTCTACCTAACATTTAATATATTTTAAACTCTAGACCAGGGGTTGTCAATTTACAGCCAGCCACTTTGTTCTTGTAAATAAAGTTTTATTGGAATAGGAACGTTCATTCATGAACTGTCATTTATAAACTGTCTATTATTTATGAATTATCTATGGCTGCTTTTGTGCTACAACAGCAGAGTTGAGTAACTGCTGCAGAGACCATGTGGCTCAGAAAGCCTAAAATATTTACTAACTGGTCATTTACAGAAAAAAGTTTGGAAATCCCTGCTCTGTATACAACAAAGAAAATTCTGTATTTACTGTAGTTAGTAGTTATATATCAGAAGGCAATGTCAGAAACATTATGGGAGAAATTAGGCAAAGACTGACTGTGGAAACTAGTCATATATGGAAATAAATTATAATGAAATTACTTTGAATAACTTTTCTACTATCTGCATGTATATCAGGACTGGAGTGACATTTTTACTTACCTTCAGGATTAATTGTTTTAAAAGTGTGGTCTAAATAGATCTTATGGGAAAACCAAAACCAGAACAGAACAGATCAGATCAAAACAAAACAATAAAAACAAGCAAAGGCAATATCATCTAATCGGGCACAACTGCATCACATACACTGCACAATGCATCGTTCCCTGTTCTGAGAGAGGTCTTGTCTGTTTCAATTGGATCTCTAAATATTTCACAGGATACTGAATTTTGAGTTATACAGTAACAAAAAGAAAATCTTCGGATTTTTGCCATGATATAATTTGTTCCAATTTCCTTTCTACTTTGAGGAAGTATTTTAACAAAGAAATCCCTTTACAAAGTAAATTGAAACTCAGTTTAAAGAAGAGCAAGATGAATTCTGGACAAAAATATTAAATGAATTTTAAAGTACTAAGAAAAAATACAGTTAGATGTGGATTTTACAGCTTTAACACAATGAAAAGCCTTGAAAATTCTTTCGGCAATCAATACTTCAACAGATATTACGGCTTTCATTGGCCACAAAGAGCACAAACTGATATTCAAATGATTCTACAGGGGCAGTTCAAAAAACAGGTTAAATTCCATTACAAATTAAGTTCTGAGAGACTGTCCATCCATTTTCTTTAAAAAAAATTTTTTTTAATTTTTTTATTATAATTGACATACAATATTATATTGGTGTCAGGTGTCATCCATTTTCTTTTACTGTACAATACTACATAAAAATGAGATATAATGGAGCTCAGATATTCTTTGACAGAGATTTTCACTGTAATAGTACCTGTGAGTAAAGCATACTCTCCACTAGTCAAAATTCAGTTCGAAATAGTTAAACCTTAGATTTCATCCAAGAAAGATTCATCCAAAAAAAAGATCAAAAAGCACTTATTAGATACTAAGAAATAAGCCATCCCACAAAGACAATAAAGACAACATTGTCAAGAAATTCCAATGTATTGATTATAATAGGATTTAATCCGTAGTAATTTCAAGTCAAAAAAGGGTATTATTTCATTTTCTTTAACAATCTGCTCTTAAAGGAGCCCCTACTAAACTTTCTCTAGTTTGACCTGAAGAATGAAAGGTAGCAATCAATGCCCCCCACCTTCTAAATGAGAAGTATTCCTGCAAAAGTCCACAGCAACAATCTGAAGTCCTCATCTATAATAGGGAAGTGCAGCATTGTGCTTTGGTATAATCCTCATTTAATATGGCGCATGGTCAACATTTTTACTTGTAAAAACATGTTTATACTAAAAACTGAAAGGAGACAGACAGGAGAAGAGGAAATGTAAAAATGAACATAAAATAATAAGCCTTCAATTTACCCTTTACAGGACACTTTAATGGGAGGAACATTTTATAAAAATATCAGCAATATTTGCTAGAATATTACTTTCTAGCATGCTCTGTAAAGAGTAGAGGTTAAGGGGGAAAAATACAACTCATAATTACAGAATCACACTTAGTTGTCATTTTGCTGACATTATCCTTAAAGTAGCATTTCCCAAAATGCCTTCCTTGGTCAATAAAGGTCCAAATGTACATTCCCCATCTTGATTATGTATTAGCATATTAAAGACTCTGAGAAGTCCTGTAGGAAAGAAACCTATTTATCTTCATTAATCTAGCATTTTCAAATTCAGTGGAGCAAAGACCCATTTTTATTATAACAATATCCTACAGAACTGACATTCCATGGAACACTGTTTAGAAAATGCTACTTTAAAGAAATGCCAGTTTTAAAAAAATAAAACCCCTACTTTAGCAATTTTAACTTATAAAGAAGAATCCTCCCCTTTCTGCAAATTTGATAATTCACAATACTTTACTACCTGCATTTCCTCTTTTGTGAAGCTGGCCGCCTCGTCCCCCAATTCATGTAGATACATGCAATCAGGCTTTGGACACTGCATATTTTTTAAGAAGTAACTGCAATATTTTGTTGTACCTAGAGATGCCTGCAAGAGGAAGGGAGGGGGGAAAAAAAGACCCAAAATGTGAAAAGACACCACAATGAGAATTTCCATGTTCTGTGTTTTTACTTTACCTAAAATGATACACACACGACAGAACAAGAAGTATGTCTATGAATACTAGAGAAATAAACTATTACTAGCAAGATGTATTAAAGATGGTGCTCATTTGGAAGTACTAAAGAAAACATCTCAGTCTATGGTTTCTAGGACTTGAGCAACCAATTCTACTTCCCTAGCAGTCAGAAGAGAGACCAAATCGGTTCTGTGCGGGAAGGCACATAAGAAGGCAACTTCCTTTCTCTAATTGTGTGATTTTCTCTCATTTACATAAAGCACTGCTTGGTGGGATCCTTCACTCAAGCATGCATTGATCAGTGTCCAAATATTTAATGACAACAAATCAGAACTATTATCTATTTCTGATAGAATAGTAGATTCATTTTTACAGAATAAAATATGTGTAAATAAAGGAGATTTTAAAAGATTACCCCTAATAATGAAAATGTGTATTAATACCTGGCAAAACAGGACTCTACATAAGTCAGCAGTAAACAAATTAGCTGTCATAGGTTGGTATGGATGCCTAAGAAGCAATCTTCAAAAAGCCTCTCTTGAAATGTATTATATAAATGCTAGGTACTCCTCTACTTGCTACATTTTATCCCTCCCCCATTAAAACAAAAAAAAATCAAGAGGACCATATTACCTTAAGCGTTCTGCCATCTACCACCACATTGTTGACACACTGTATGGCTCTGAGAGCATCTTCTGACCGGATATAGGTTACATAAGCACTGGCACTTGGACCCTAAAGTGAAAACTGTTATTATTTTCAAATTCAACAAAAACATTTTTTTAAAAAATTCTCATGCAACTTGACTAGGAAATTCTAAAAGCCTTTCCTACTACTATCATTAATAATCACAATAATTAGAAGTTGTAGTAGCTTTAATTAAACCATATACTAGCTCATTGTAAAACAATCAGACTTAATGAATTTTATCTGTTTTTAAGTAGACTAAAATACTATGAATAAAATATCTTTGGTAGCTCCGTTGTAAGAGCATCATCCGGTTATGCCAATGTTGTGGGTTTGATGCCCTGGCAGGGCACATATAAGAATCAACCAATGAATGTATAAATAAGTGGAACAACAAATCGAGCCCGACCGGGCGTGGCTCAGCGGTTGAGCATCAACCTGGGATCCAGGCAATCTGGGTTCGATTCCCGGTCAGGGCACAAGCCCAGGTTGTGGGCTCGATCAGTGACTCTCTCATCATTGATGTTTCTATCTCTCCCCCTCTCCTTTCCTCTCTCTGAAATCAATAAAGATATATTTAAAAACAAACAAAACAAATCAATGTCTGTCTCTGTCTTCTCCATTCCCCCCTTCCTCTCCCTCTCTAAAATCAATTTTAAAAAATCATCTTTGGACTGGCATGTATTATTTTAAAGTCATTTGACAGGCTCATCAAGGTTACAAAAAAACAAACTTTGAAAGTCAGATTTTAAAAACTAAGATCTGAAGACACTGTCAAACTGTATCTCCCAAAAATAAATACACTTTGCAAGAATAGTCTATCTGCTAATAGCAGCATAACAAAGATGCTCTATAAAGTTTTCAATATCTGAAATTATTATTAATTAGAAATCATTATCTAATTACTAGACTAGAAATAGACTCAACTTCCCCTCCCTTTCAAACCGTCACTAAATCTTTGTTTTACTATTTCCCTCTTATTACTAGCAATTCACTGTTAAGTCCTGGAAGAGTTCAATGAGCACCAAAAATTGCCCCACCCCACCAACAGAGGTCACTATACTACTTAAATCCTTGACCCTCAAGCTTTGTAATCACAGAAAATAAATTTCCCTTCTGAACAGCCTAGGTCAAACACAAACCATAGGGAGGAAAGGCAAAAATCCTTATAATTAGTTACCTGCGAGCCTGCATATGATGTGCTATTATTGATGACAACTTTATGTATTTTACCAAACTTCCCAAAATATTCTGGTCGTTTTAAAACCTATAAAAAAAGAAGAAATAAAGTATAAACTGTCCCCATATTCATGAACTTTACCCTTATAATGGGGACATACACTATTCAGTGAAAGAAAAATAACTTTCAACATGTTTTAATAAATGTGACCATTTCCTAATTACAATTTGTGTGATTCACCTACAAGAAATCATCAACAGAGTCTAAAAGCTATTTTTTATTGACCCACGGAATAGAAATTGAGACTCAAAGTTTGGTATTTTCTACTATGTTCTAATTTCTGCACCAAAACTCTGGGATTTTATGTTTACAACAGTCTTAAACACAAAGCAGATCAAATATCCTCACCACATTTTCATTAATAGATGATCCCTATAAGAAAAACTTATTTCTTAAAACAATGACCAAAATTACATATTAAAGACAGAGATAAGGACTCAAGGACCTAAGTAGAAACAGTCTTTATTCATAAATCTATTGAATATATGACATGTTAAAGCACTGTTTATGAGCTACAAATTTCAAATATGGTAACAGAATGCTCAACTGTCAATGTCTTATGATTTATTATTGTGTGTGTATATCTATGTATATGTACACATACACAGATACACACACACACACACACACACACATATATATATATATTTAGTTTCCTTACGTCAATCAATTTTACCATTTCTCAGCTCTCCAATTTTTTCCCCTCTCTTTTCCTGGTAAATAATGTATGTAAGGTGATAGATGGGGTTTTTAAAAAAAACAGTTGGGAAACAAATTTATACATTTCTTTCTCTATTACCTAGGTTACTTCTTCATGGTTACTTCCCCTCATACTTGTGATCATCTTATGTACTCATTTAGCTTTTCTTAAAACCTTACTTGCTAAGTTGTGTGTGAGAGTACTATCAAGTGTTTGGAAAGAATACTTTGCATACACTTGAATAGGTATGTACAGAAAGCTTTCATTGAAAGAGAGCTTGTTGTTTGGAAAGATGGTAGGAATAGTGTGTCTATAGGTACAATTTAGGAAAAGAACAGAATATAATTTTGAGATAGTTGCAAATCATGGGAAAGGTTTTTCTATGAAGGTACATACTGACAAAAAGTTTAGATGTGTTCTGCATCAGACAAAATCAAAGCTTCGTGAAATAGTCTATGACTGCGGTGTCATTAACTCTTAACAGCTTGCAACTTAATTAATATACAGTTGACCCTTGAACAACGCGGTTTGAATTGTGTGGGTCCACTTATACACAAATTGTTTTCAATAAATATATTGGAAAATTTTTGGGAGATTTGAAACAACGTGAAAAAACTCACAGATGAACCACATAGGCTAGAAATATCCAAAAAATTAAGAGTTAGGTATATCATGAATGTATAAAATAGATGTAGATACCAGTCTATTTTATTATTTACTACCATAAAATATACACAAACCTAAATTAATAGTTTTCAAAACTTACGCAAACACAGACCATACATATTGCCATTCACAGTTGAAAGAAATGCATCATTAAATCATAACTGCATAAAATTTAACTGCAGCACATATTGTACTACTGTAATACTTTCATAGTTACCTCCTGTTGCTTCTGCAGTGAGCTCAAATATTACCAGTATCTGCTTAAAATGTCATGTGATGCTAATCATCTCCACGTGGGAAGCTGTCTCTCCAGTACATTGGGTATCACAGTCAAAGTGATCTCTCAAGGTTCTTGTGTATTTTTCATTGTGTTTAGTGCAATACTGTAAACCTTGAAAAACACCACGGCACCCATACCAAGTGCCTAGTGATGCTGGCAGTGCTCCCAAGAAGCACAGAAAAGTCATGTCTTTACAAAAAAAGCTGAAGTGCCTGACGTGTGTCGCAGACAGGCCTGCAGCTGCGGTAGCCCTCCATTTTGACGTAAATGAATCCAGGGTAAGGACAATGTAAAAAAAGAAAAGGAAATTTGCAAAGCCCCTGCTATAGCTACACCAGCATTTGCAAAAACCTTGAGCTTCTGAAAAATTATCTTTTTATCTCGTATTGAAAACGCAGCTGTTATATGGGTACAGGATTGCTGTTAAGAAAGGCACACCTATAGACTCTAATGACTCAAGAAAAAAAGCAATCATTATATGACAGCTTAAAAAAAAGAAAGGTGAAGGAGCTAAAGTTAAAGAATTTAATGCCAGCAAAGGAGGGTTTGATAATTTAGAAAGAGGTTTGGCTTTAAAAAAGTCAAGATAACAAGAGAAGCAGCTCTGCCGACCAAGAGGAAGCAGACAAGTTCCCAGACGCCAGTAAGAAAATCATTGAGGAGAAAGTATCTGCCTGAACAGGTTTTTATTTTTATTTTTTAAATAGACTTTATTTATCAGTTATTATTTTAATCCTCACCTGAATATATTTTTCCATTGCTTTTCAGAAAGAGTGGAAGCGAGGGGGGGGAGAGGGAGAGAGAGAGAACCATCGATGTGAGACACATAGACTGGTTGCCTCCCACATGTGCCCCAACCCTGATAGGGGCTGGGGATAGAGTCTGCAACCGAGGTATGTGCCCTTAGCTGGAATCAAACCGGGACCCTTCAGTCCATGGGCCAATGCTCTAACCACTGAGCCAAACTGGCTAGGTCACTGAACAGGTTTTTAATACAGATGAAAGTGCCCTATTCTGGGAGGAGAAAAAAATACCACAACAGACATTTATTAGTAAAACAGAGAAGCAAGCACCAGGATTTAAGGTAGGAAGTAATAAGCTAACTCCACCGTTTTGGACATATGCAGTCGGGTCTATGATCAGAAATGCCCTTATCTACAAAGCTGCTAACCCCTGAGCCTCGAAGGGAAAAAATAAACACTAGCTGTCAGTCATTTAGTTGTACAACAAGAAGGCCTCGAGGACAAGAACCCTTTTCTGGATTGGCTCCATCAATGCTTTGTCCCTGAAGTCAGGAAGTACCTTGCCATTAAGGAACTGCCTTTTAAAGTTCCTTTGATATTGGACAATGCCCCTGGCCACCCAAACCCCATCAGTTCAACAGTGAAGGTGTCGAAGTCGTCTACTTGCCCGAGAACACAATGTCTCTTAACTCAGCCTCTAGATCAGGGGTCACAAGGATCTTTAAGGCTCATTACACCAGGGACTCTCTGGAAAGGTTGCCTGCTATGGAAGAGAACCCTGATAGAGAGGACATTATGAAAGTCTGGAAGGATTCCACCACTGAAGATGCCTCGTTGTTATAGAAAAAGCTGTGGAAGCCATCAAGCCCCAATCAATCAATTCCTGCTGGAGAAAACTGTCCAGAGGTTGTGCATAATTTCACAGGTTTTATGGCAGGGCCAACAAAGGAAATCATTAAAGAGGTTGTAGATATGGCAACACAGGTGAGGGTGAAGGGTTTTAAGATATGGATCTTGGGGAAATAAAAGGGCTAAAAGACATCACATTAAAAGAAATTAACAGAAGATGACTTGCTGGAGATGAGTATTTGTGAACCGGAGGCAGACGAGGAGGAAGATGATGTAGAAGCAGCGCCAGGAAACAAATTGACATTAGTCCCGCAGGGTTCCGATTATTCAAGACGGCTTTTGGCTGCTCATACTACATGGACCCTTCTGCGACACGACTGAAACTAAGCCGAACGGCGGAAGGAGGATTGGTACCGTATAGAAACATTTTTAGAGGAATGAAAGAGCAAAAAAGCCAGACAGGAGCGGTGGGGTACCTCCGTGGAGTTCCGCTGAGTGTGCTGCCTCTCCCGCCTCCCCTCCCTCTCCGGCCTCCGCTTCCCCTCAGCCCACTCGCGCGAAGGCGACGAGGAGCCCTTCACGATAACCCACTTCCACTCAGTGAACAGGAAGACACCTCCTGCCGCACAGTTCACAAACTTCTCTGCTGTGTGTGTGTCTTCCTGTGAAAAATATGTTGTATGAAACATTTTTGCGTCATGACTGTCAACAGTACCTAAGTGGTCGTTGTGTACAACATCATGTGCAAGACTTGTAGGGGAGCAGACAGCCTACCCTAACTCAGGCTTAACAGAGTGATATTTAATATAAAATTAATAATGTGTTTTCTTACTGTTTTATAAGTTTGCTCTCAAAGAATTACATTACTGTACAGTATGCCTCTCTTGTATTTGGATAAACTGTAGATTAGCCTATCATCACAAGTAGTTTTTAAATGTAACAATGTTTCTAATACTGTATTATGAATATGACTATAATATTGTGTGCCCTAAAAATTTAATGATTCATTCATTAGTATATAGGCTAGGCTACCACGAAGCAATCATACAAATTACACTAGGCTATCACAAAACCACCATATTTTCTTCTTCATTATCAATGCATGAATTGTTAGACCTATAAATAAATATTTTTAAAATCATCTTTCCATTTCTTATGCCTAGTATTAGTAATACATATAACATCTACAGTGTTTTGTATCATGTAAGACAGTATTGATGTAGGTACTGGCAGATGATTCATCTTGTAAACACACGATGTCAAGTTGTGGTTTTGATTAGTACAGTACTGTAAATTTATTTTCTCTTCCTTAAGATTTTCTTAATAACATCTTTTCTGTAGCTTACCTCATTGTAAGAATACAGTACATAATACATAAAACATATAAAATATATGTTAATCTATAATCAACAGTAGGCTATTCGTAGTTAAGTTTTGGGAGTGTCAAAAGTTATATGTAGATTTTTGCATCATTCCTAACCCCTACATTGTTCAAGGGTCAACTTCACTTACTTTTACCATATTTTATTTTAGATTCCTATCAGTATAGGGTTGTCATGTTTTCTACAGCCGATTGTAATGAATTAGAAGGTTGAAGTGGTTACACTTTTTTCCACCAAATTCCCTGAAGAATACGATAATAATAGTGGTGAAGGTGATGACCCTTGGGTTGTTCACAGCAAAGTCTCAGGGTTGAGGGGAAGGAGGAGTATATTTTGAAAAGTGTTCTGGCAGGTGGAGGGTAGAACTTCATTCAATATTCCAGATGGATGCATACCAACTCAGCAAA